AATAAATTTTGTTTTCTACCTCATTGTAATCAACAAACATTTTGTTTGCACGCAAATAAGCTTCAATCATAGCCACCTATGAATTATTTTAGCAATAGCAGTCAGAAATTTATATAAGAAATCCATCAACCAAATATAGCACACAACAAAAAATAAGGAAACAAAAAGAAAAAGAAAAGACAAACGAACAGTCTCATCACCCCTTCCAATTAATTTAAGGTACTGTAATGTGACATGATCTACAAGAAAGAACTCTCACTTCCAATTTAAGCTTGTAATCCCTATGACAACGCCACCACAGCGATGTCGTATCAAAGAAACCAGTCAAAACGATACCATTGATCACAAACTCATATATTGGAACAAGCTTCACATTTATTTGGGTCAAATTCTGGTCAGATTCATAGTATATATATATATATATATATATTTGGGTCAAATTCAATCTGATAGTATATATATAATGTAATATGTGAAAAATGTTGGGTTTTCTAGTGTTTTGCATCAATCAAAATTTTTTGAAATTGAAATTTGTTAGAGTTGGTGAAGAAAGAAAATATGTGTATCTATATCTATACATATGTGCAGGTTCAATTTGAAAGAAAGAAGAAAAAAAGAAAATAGGTGTGTGCATATATATATATATGTATGTATATTTGCATGTTTAATTTAAAAGAGAGAGAAGGAAGAAGACAATGACATAAAGGTAAATTTATACATTCTGTTAACAGAAGTTAATGTGCGTTTTAGTTCACAAATCACATAGGAATTATGTAGTGATTTTCGAATGTCAAGGAAATAAATCGCATCCGGTATAAATTACAGGAATAAAATGAAGTTTGTCCTAATTTATTTTATAAATTTTACCTCAAAATGTTAAAAAAACAAATAAATAAAAACCTTTGCCACACAAAGTCACATCAAATGACTATGGGCAGGTAAGATAAAAGGAGGTATAACCTGTTTGGCATTTTCTATATTATTTATTTATTTTTAATTATATTATTTCTTTATTTTTTTATTTTTTTTATAAAATATTAAAAAGTATATTTATTTATTGAGTCATAATTAAAAAAATAAAAAATTATAATTAAACATTATATAAATATAATCATAAATTTTAAAATAATACTACAATTAAAAATGATGTAATGAATGATAAGAAATGTTTATAATAGAATTTCCGATTGAAATAGACAAGACAACGACGTTATTTGATTCTTAACGATAAAATACAATCTGGGGCGGACAATCAGGCCCCATCACATAAAATAAAATAAACCTTTTAGGTTGGACTTTTTCTCAATATTAATTAATAGGCCCGTTTGGGACACTTGGGTATTATTTTCTTTTTGCATTTTTTTAAATAAAAATTTTAATAATTAATTTTCAAACATAGTCTTGTTGCGAGGAGTTTTAGAGTTTTTTCTAAATTTATTTTGATGATTTGAATTATTTATATTGTAAATTTTGCAGAGTATCTTATTAATATAAACAATTAAATTGATCGAATATCCGTAACCCTATGATCAAAGCTTAATTATTTTTTGAAATTATTAAAATCACGTTAACCATTTATTTTTCATAAAAAATTATATGTTTTTTTTTATGAGACTACATATGTTCAATTAATTTTATTTTTTGTATGAATGATCTATTTAACGAACCTTACAATATGAACAGTTTGAATCATTAAAAGAGACTTGGAATAAACCCTCAATTGGCCTCACAATAACTTGCTGTGCCTTACGATAATTTTGAGAAAATTTAAGAGGTTCACAATAAATCTTGTTTTGATTAATTATCATTGATTCTATAAGGTTTATATCTATGAAAATAATTAAATTGATTTAATAATCATAATTTTTTATTTTATCGCATTTATTTTTAAAAAAATATATAACAAATATTTTTTAAAATAAATTATTCATTTTTACGAAGATAAATGTGATAAAATAAAAATATTACAATTATCGAATCGATTAAATTTTTTTATAAATGATAAACTCGAAAAATTTTATAAAATAAACGATTCAAATTATAAAACAATAATGATTGAAACCCCACCCCTACAAGACCCTTACAAATCTGGACCACTCATGATGTGGATTTCACACATACATGAGTAGACCCTTCACATACATGGAGGGCTAGGATCACCTTGAGAATGTGGGGGTCATCCCCAAGAATCAGGATCTTCTCTTTAACTTCTCTCCTTAACTCCTTACTTACTGGGCTATTGGGCCCACTTTTGGGACTAATTTTGATAATCCGAATCGTTCACATTTTAAGATTTGTTGAGTATATCATACCTGTAAAAAATCAAATTGATCAAATATCAGAAACTACATGTTCGGATCATCGAAATAAAAATTATTTTAAAAAAAAATTAATAAATAATTTGCCGAACACATGCTTTCTGATATTCAATCAACTTGATTTTTTACAGGTATGATATACTCAATAAATCTTAAAATATGAATAGTTCGGATCATTAAAATTAAATTAAAAAATGAGCCTAATGACCCAACAAGTAGAAAGTTAAAAATAAAAGTCAAGGAGAGGATCCTAATTTCATCCCAAAGGGTCCAAACATTTCTCGTTATAAAAGCGGGCTCGTTGTCAACTCCACATGCCTGGACAACAACCTCCAATGGAGGGGCAGCCCAATCTTTTGTACATAGTATTTTTTGGAAAATTGGTTAAAAACTAATTTTTTGATTTTTTATTTTATTTTTTAAAAAAATAAATAAAAAAAGTAGAGAGTTAATATGATTCAAAATAGAAAAATTAAAAAATAACTTTTAACCCTCTACCCAAAAGAAGCCATAGTATATTTCAAGAATGATATTACAGTGGTAGGTATAAAATAAAGTCTCGGGCAAAAGTTTTTGTTTGGTTGTGATTCTTAGAAATTATTTTTAAATGGGATTTTGTTTGTTTTTATTAAATTTTTTATATTTTAATCAATTTTTTTTTTATTTTGTAAATATATCAAGATTAGATGAATCTAAAAAATTTAAAAATAACTAAAATATGAAGAAAAAAAAAATACTAAGAACAAATGAAAATCGAAAAAAATACACAGTTTTTTTGTTTGAATTTTCATTTATTTTTAGTATTTTGTAAATCTTTTGACCAATTTGTTTTAAAATTTAGATGCATCTTGATTAGGTGCATCTAAAAAGTATAAAGAATTGATTAAAATATAAAAATAAACACTAAAAATAAACGATAGCTTATCGAAAAATAGTTTTTAAAAAATCAAATCATTTTTAAAAATTCAAATCAAACCGAGGTTCCAAATTCAAACATAAAAAAACTTTATGTAAAAAAAGTTAAATAAATATAATAAAATACAAAAAATTAAAAATATAAAAACTGTATTTAAAAATTCAAAATAAAATAGATGACATTTTTTTTAATTTTGATTTTAAAAAAACAATATAAAAAATTATGGGAGACCTACGTATAGGTTCTAATAGGTGGATTTATTATCCAATAGGTCATGTGATAATTAATGACATTTTTCACTAAACATTATTAAAAAATATCACTAATTGTTAATTTTAAGTGCAATTTAAAAATTTTGTCACAAAAAATATTACTAATTATAAATTTAGCGACAGTTTAAAAAATTCATCATAAAAAAATGTCAGTAATTTTTAACTTTTAGCAACAATTTAAAAAATTCGTCATAAAAAAAAGGTCACTAATTTTAAGTTTTAACTACAATTTATAAAAATCATGTCAAGGACGGTGTCATCATTTCTCCTAGCTTGGTCCTTGTCCTGAGCCTATCAACCAGCCTGGCCCAATATCCAAGTCTCAGGCCTACTTGGTAGCATGGTCCAATGCCGCGGGTTAAATGATTTGCTTGATCCATTTGTTTGGCACGAATTCTTCTCTCATAACTCATGAGCACTTAATATTTTTTCAAAGAGTAATATTATAGAAACAAAAAAAATTACAAAAAATTCATATAACATGATATAGCATTCTATGATCTTTTCATTTCTATCTAAAGTACTTATGGGTGTTTATGATTGATCAAGTTTTAGATTATTTCGAGTTGAACTGGTTCCTATGCTTTGGTTTTACAATTCTAAAAATTTTATATAATAATAAATATGAAATATATATTTTATATTAATAAACAAGAAAATAATAAGTTTGATTAAATTGATTGAAGTTTGTTAATTTCACAATCAACATTAATATTCAAATTTTATAAAAAATAAAAAATATATATACAAGTGCAACTCAAAACCATAATAAAAATTTTGAAATTGAAAGAATTTGAAATACTTTGACTTTTTTTAGAACATGTCCGAATCAAACATTAATGATTTGAAACACTTCTTTTTACATTATTTCGGAAACTTAAGAATTCAATCGTATGAATATGTAAAATATAGTACGTAAATTAACGCCACAATGGTGAAAGAATCGTTGTATTCTCTGAAAGATAGATTATTACTAGTCATACTTGACATTCAAGGAAACTTGTCTACAATTTTTTTAAAATTTATTAAAATTTCATGCATCGATTCTTAAATTCTTTTATGTGGTATTTTTTAAAATTTTGTAAGTAAACAAAGTTTTCCGAAAAAAAACTCCAAGAAAATAGAGTAGAAATTAGGCATATTTTGAAAAGTGATTTTTTTTTAACTTATTAATTTATTATTAAAAAAATATATAAAAAAACATAAAAAATTAATATGACCTAAATAAATCAATATATTACTATTATTATTTTTTTTTTCCCAAAAGGGTCATTTAAATTTAAAAAAATGATGCAGACCACTAATTAGTGGTTGCACTAGGGATGTGGCAGTGGGTCCCATCCACTGCCACATGTGTTTTGTGTCTTAATTTTTGTTTTTGATTTTTTTTTTGACTTGAAAGTGGTGATGTTTTAGTGGTCTGTATCATTATTGTTAAATTTAAACAGTTGCACTATTTGCCAAACCAGCTATTTGCCTTAAATAATTTCAAGGATATATCTGAGTGTCACATTTATTACTTTCCTTTTTGAAATCCTTGTCACAACTAAGCCCTGATGTGTTGTTTGTTTGTATATCTCTCTGGGTTTTTTGAGTAATCGATGAAGCACAAAATGGAGAAGAATTCAGCTGAAAAAGAAGAAACCATTGAAATGTACGATCATGGTGATGATCAACAACAACAACAGCAAATGGGTAATTTTCTACTCTTGAACAAGAAACATAAAATGGATATGAATTTGATACAATTCAGTAGTAGTAAGTCCATATCAGACTTGCCATATCAACTCCTCAACGAGATTCTTTCAAGATTACCTTCCAAGACTGTTCTTTCTTGCAAGTCTGTGTGTAAACCATGGCTTTTTTTTCTCTCTAGTCCTGATTTCCTCAAAACCCATTTCGAGAAATCCTCAATTTGTGCTCTAATTCTCTCCTATGGCAATCGAGGAAGCTCAATTCCCAAAACCCTTCACTTAATCGAGGCCCAAACCGTTTCTGATATCACTGATGATGGTGAATTTATTTTCAATGGTGATGTCAAGGTCAATCTTGTTTCTAAATTCGATCACCCTATGAAGGACCCAGAGATTAAGCTCATCCCCAATTATACTCTCCCCTGTAGTTGGCTCACTGTGGTGAATTCATGCCGCGGATTGGTCTGTATGGTTACTTCTGATTGTCCTACTCTTCTTGTTGTTTGTAATCCAATTGATGGCGATTACATTACAGTTAGCACAACCCATTTGACCTATGCTTTTCTTATTGGACTTGGTTTTGGTCCCAGTACTAACCAGTACAAATTGTTGCGAATGGCCCAACGACAGGTTATCGAACCGGTCCATGAGGAGTGTTGGTTCAGTTGGGGGACTGAATTGTACACAATTGGGAGTGGAAGAACATGGAGGAGGGTCGAAAATGTGCCTGATTTGCAGGTATTCTGTCATGTTAGACCATCATTTATTACTTCTGTGAATGGGTTTCTTTTTTGGTTGTACGATGACTATGAATTCATAGATTCTTTTGATTTCGATAATGAGAAGTTCAGGCGTGTCTTGCCGCCTCATGGGTTTCATGGTGTAAGGGGCTTTGTGAGTTTGGGAGTATTAGGTGGTTCTCTATGTCTGTCTAATGCTTCTTCTTTGAAAAAATGTGAAATTTGGATTTTGAAGAATAACGGTACTATACAAGAGTGTTGGATTAGAGCATATGTTGTCAAAATATCAACTGAGGACAATGGTTGGGGTGGTTTTTATAAGCCTATAAGATACCTCAACAATGGTAAAGTATTGATGTTCTATTCCAGAAATGCCCTAGTTGTTTATGACCCGGTCAAACAAACTGCGAGATACCTGAAGATCCCAGGGGTTCAACGAAAATGCGAAGCAATTCCTCATATTCCATGTCTTGTTTCTTTGAAGGATGTCATGGGGGATAATGCAAAGTTATTGAATATCAAATCAAGGTAAGTTTCCTAGCATTTTAAATTATGATATTTATTTTAGCATAAACACAAATATTAGTTTTAAGTTGTGCATTTCCACATGATCAGAGTTTGTGAATTTATTTGTTGTTTTATTAATCTTATTTAATGCGAAATGTTTCATTGAATTTTATATGAGTAATGGTATAAAATTTTACAATTTTTTCTTACTCGGTCACGAGAGTTGACTCTATCATATTATTCAAGTGGGTCCTATTTCAAATTTTGAAGTTTCATCCATGTATGCCGCATCTGTTAGTTAAATAAAGTTTGTAAGACTTGTATAATATTTTCCATTTTATATTACCGTAAGGTTTTAAAGTCTGTAGTGGTGATGCACCCAGCACTTAGTTACTTCACTCGATAATTTTGTTGTAGTTGGATGGTATTTTTTGACAAAATAAAATTGATGATATATTGCATGGTGGTTAGCTATAATTATTTTCAAATTACGTAAGGTCGCTCTTAGGATTAATTTGAAAATTTAATACTTTCCCTCAAGGTATTCCCCCTGTAGGGGCATGGGTGTTTGGGTGTGGTTGGAAGGGGTGGGGCTGATTTTGCCAATCCATAAAAAGAAAAAAAAGGAAAGGTATTCTTCTTCTAGTTTGGTTTTCATTTTTGGTCCATCTGTTTCAGTATTGCTTTTTCAATCACTATTCTTTTCTTTTGGTTTTCACTTGTCTTCTACTTTATTGGCTTTCCTTTTCAGTCCTTTTATTTTGGTTTTCTCTCTCTCTTTTTTTTCTTCTTCTTGTTGTTCAGTTTCGCTTTTCACTCTACTTCATCTCCTGTTTTAGTTTTCACCTGTATTTTTCTTTTTTCTTCGTCTTTGTTTTGGTTTTCACTTTTCAATCCTCTCCCTGTTTCGTTGGTTTTCACTTTTCAATCCTCTCCCTGTTTCGTTGGTTTTCACTTTTCAGTCCACCTTCTCTGTTTCCGTACTCAATTTTCTCAGCCTTTTTTTTCATTGTGATTTTATTTTTTATTTTTTTATGAACCGTGTATATTGCTGGCTTTGTCCTTTTTGGTAAAACTGTGGGAAAGTGCTTATAACTTATACCTTAACAGCTTATAGCTTATAACTATGAACATAAGCTAATTTCTGACTTATAAATTAAGCTTCTCCTGTCCCACTCAAAGAATAAGTTGATTTCTGACTTACAAAAAGCTATAAGCTGTATTGTTAAGCTAAACTAAACACATCAAAATAGCTTAAATTAAGCTGAAAACTGAAATAAGCTGAAATTAAGCTGTACCAAACAGGGCCATTGTATCATGTGTGTAAGGTTAGAATTAAAATAATTTTATCCATATTTTGTTTTTTTGGCATTGAAGTAACATAATTTTGATGGCATTATCCTTGTTTTATTGTATACAGACATGCATTTCACATTGATTAATTGTATGAATGTCATTTGTTTTTGGTAATCATATGCATGTATCATTCAATTAGATGTTTAAGACATTTGATATTTAGTATTGGGTATGTAGAATATTTGCCTCTACTTTTGGAAAAGGGTAGGACAAGGAACATTAACTTGGATCGTGCTACTACTTTTGGCTACCTAACTGTCAGGAAATCGGGAGTTTTTTCAGAGAATCGGTGTCATGGTGGTGCTACGAGATGGCGATTTATTACATAGAAGAATAGATCCGTGGGCCTATTGATTGACCATAGATGCGAACTGATCGACCGCTATCTAAGAGAAGATGAGTAGTTCTTCTATCGTTCAAGGGCAAGGGGAGAACATGTAGTGGCTTGCCTAGATCTTGTATTTCCCACGTAGTCCATCAGTCAAACCAACAATTCTCTTCTCAAAGAAATAGAAAGTCTTTCCGGTATGTAGCTCTGCGGGCTAAGAGTTCATCAACTGGGCAGGGAGAAAACGAACATAGGATCATGGCCTTTCTTCTTTCGTTTGTTTGTGTCCTGTCCATTAGTGTTATGATGTTAGTGTAGCAAGACAAACAAATAAGAATGCTAAATATACTCTGTTGGTGTTTGGGAAGTTTGTTTTTTGATTTTTTTTGGTTTTTTTTCACTAAAAGACAAATTGGTTACAAAACCAAAAAAAATAAATCCAAACAAAATATCACATCAAATCTCATAATCATTTCACTTTTTCTCTCACAAACATCACATCCAACCACAAAAAAACCCGACTATCTTCCCAAACAGAAAAAAAATTTCTCCAATAATATCCTACAACTAAAAAAACTTACAAAAAATCCACTTCCCAAACACTCACTCTATATGCTTAGCTTTTGATATTAGTTGTTTCGTAGATACATATTGTGTTATGAAAGACTATCTCTAGATGCTTAACATTAGTAGTAGATAGAGGAAAATTAAAATTAGGTTTGAAAAATTGAGAGACTAGCTTTGTAAAGTCAATCTAAACTCATGTGAAGTTGAAAGACTAGCTTCTAACGATCCCAAGAGCCTCAAGCAACACAGATTGAATCGATCCCAAGAGCCTCATGCAACACAAATCTAGTCTCTGTTTAATGATTTAACTTTAGTTTATCTTGTAATGTTAATAAAATATATTTTGTTTTATTTGTATATAGAGCAAATAAAAATATATTTTATTTTTTGCATCCCCATCATGTCCTCGTTCTGATTTTTCTGAAATCACCATGCACTTTCTTTCCTGTTTGGATGACAGACTGTGGCTAGCAATTGGCAAGAGTCCAATTGTGGAGCTCTTTTTGGAGAAAGCTTTCAGCTGTTTTGCGCGGCCTGTTATCTCATGGAGATGAGGGTCAACACAAGTTGTTGTTTGGGATGACTGTGGGTGGATGTGCAACTGCAGTTTTGTTTTTGGGTGTTGGTTGGTCCTTACCCGCCTCCTGCCTCCCCTGTTTCAGTTGGTTTTAGCTTGTTGCCTTAGGGTGTGTTAGTTTTGCTTAGCCATTGTATTGTGAGTTTAATCTTTTAGGTTCAGTGTTTTGGTCTTGTGAACCCTTTGGCTTGGGTGTCGCTTTTTGAAGCTATGTTGACCGGTGGGGTCGTGTCTTGAGCATCATTGTAAAATGACACAAAACGCACACGTTAGGGATTATATATGTATTTTATTACTATTCCAGTAATGATTTAAAGGGCTATCTAAAATTGGACCACTGTAGATTTTATTCATGAACTGGTTGGCCTGGCCTAAAGGCCTACAATCATTTTGAACGGGAGGATTTCCCTGCATAGCTCATACAAACTGACCATACATGTATTTTTATCCTTCAAAGAATTGTAAATTCTCTAAATAACTACTAGTTCTTACCTGTTGAACTTGTGCTTAAAAATTTCTCCTTAACACTAGGGATATTTCATGATCTTCAATTCATGGTCATGGCACACATGTAAAGAAAGCCTTGAAGAAAATTATCATTTCGTGGCAAATTATTCTTTCCTCCCAACTCTTTTTAGTTGGTTTTGCATGTGAGGGTAGGTGTTGTATAGATGCTCCACAAGCTTCATGTGGCATTCTAATTTCAAACAACAGAAACTGGCACAGTGAGAATCTATTTTGTTTGAAAACCATTCTTGTTCCTTATGCTCTGGAAAAAAGAGAAGCTTTTGTGTTTTTTGTGGGTATTTGAGAAGTTGCTATTTTAGTAGGCTATTTTAGTTTTTGGCTATTTTAGTAGACTAAAATTTTTGTGTTTGGGAAGATAGTAGGATTTTTTTGTAGTTGGATGTGATATTTGTGAGAGAAAAAGTGAAATGACTATGTGTTTGATGTGACATTTTGTCTTATCGGCTATTTTAGCCTATTTTGTCATTTTGTGGATTTTAGCCCAAAAAGCCAAAAACCAGGAGACAACCATATGACTAAATCTTTGATTTTTTTTTCTTATTTTCTTTCTACAGGGCCACAACCACAGCTGTCAGCAATCAAGAAAATGCAGCACTGAGAATCAGGAGACAAGCCGGGCTACATTTTCATTTGTGAATCTTGTTTTTAGGAGTTTCTTTTAATAGACAGATAACATACATCGGAACAAATTTGATTTCCATTTCTTGTGTTTGAGTTTTTTCTTTTTTTGGTTTTTAAAGTGATAGGCTAGGAATATACAAAAACTTGATCGGATCAACCCATCTTCTGAGTTGATGGACTAGGAATATATGACATTCTTTTGTGTTTTTTTTTTCCCGTCTTCTGAGTTATTATTATTATTATGGAGAGGTTGGTGTGGAATGCTCATACATCAGGTATTTTCTTAGTTAATTCTTTGTATAAACATTTTGATTCATCTTTGGGTATTAAAAATTAGCATCAGAGAGAAGATCTGGAAGACTGCAGCTCCTCCACGGTTTCAGTTTTGTTCTCTAACTAACTAGTTTGGAGAAATAGAATTAAAACTTCAGAGCTTTTGTTGAGAGGTATCCTAAATGAACAGGTTTTTGCTTCTTTTTATTTATTTATGTTAGTAAATTTTATTCTAGTAAACGACTTAGTTGTAAACCTAAGTAGATGTACGAATCCATGAGGGTGTCAGAGTTTGATGCACTTTCTCCCTTCAACACTTGAGCAAAATACAATAAATGAAAGGAAAATCCAAGACCAACCTCGTCATCTCTACCCTCTGAGAACTACGAGATTACCCCAAGAACACTTTTCGGATCATGGACCAACCATGCATAGAACCGTGCTCAACGAGGGGAATACATTAGTTATTTGTTCTCAGGTTGTACAATAAGAGCCGGAGAAGGGTCAATCACTTATTCAAAATGACTGTGAGGGAAAATGCATAGGTACTCTAGCCATCTTGATTGTGCTTGCTTTTTTTTTAATTTTGTTTTCTTAGCTTAATTCTGATCTCATGAATTTCTAGTATTGTGTCCATAGAATTTATGGATTGTTTGATACCGAAGAGTTGCTAAAATGAATTGAGTTTAAGTTTTGACTCATGAGTGAGTACCAAGCCAGTCTAGAGATCTTGGACCTTATATTATGAGCCGAGTCTAACTATTTGGAGGATTGATTAGAGTTGTTGAAACACCAAAATAGATAAAAATATCAAAATGAGCCAGTTTAGGCCAAGTTAACTAAAATGTTAAGATCTAGGACTATTTCAATCAACACAATATACAAATGTAATAACAATTTTAGAATAAAGAAGAAAGTGAATACAATGTTGGTGATATAAACAGAGAAGCAAGGGTGACAGATATAGAATTTCTAATTTTTATTTTTATTTTTTGTTTTTTCCAAATACCATACCAATCACAAAATAATGATCTAGAAGAGAGGATTATCTTTCCCAGTGAAGAAAAAGAAGAAGAAGAAGAAGAAGAAGAACCACATTAGTATACATTAATGTGTGTTTGGGAGGAAAAAGATTGAGTATACACCGATAACTTTAAGATTATTAGGTCAAGTCTTAACTATTGAACCAATGGTCACCCGCTTATTGAGTTTAGCCACGCAAGAGTAAATAAAGCTTCTCTTTAAGCATGTGAAATTAACAACATACAATTTTCTCTCTTGGTGATCATTCACAATCATCTAGGTCAGAAGAAACAAGCATCCAAAACAAGGAAGGAAATAAATAAATAAAAAATAAAAAATAAAAAGAGAGGAAAGAAGCAGAGCAATAATCACTTGAACAATTAGACTACTAAATCATATCAATTATTATAGAATAATATTAGCTGATTCTAAGAAAATGGCATGGAAAGTTGTATCTAATTCTCCTTGACTAGAAGAAGCTACCAAGAATAGACTATAATTTGGCAATTCAATGTTCACAAATCGCATCTTAAAATTTTTTTTCTACGAACAAATTAGAAATAAAAATAAGTTATTCGGTGACAGATTTTGAGAGTGAGAAATAAGCTCTAGATAAAGGTTAATTACTTCTCCTTCATCTCATGATTCAGAGGGCTTGGCTAGGCTAGGCTCTCACTTCTGCAACCTGATCACTTTGAATGTGAATTGCTACTCCTTCGTTAAGTAAAGCAAGGCTCTCCTTATAAATAAACATACCATGAACACGAGCAAATGGTTGGCCTTTAAGTTTCCGATGCTTATGGATTTTAAGATCATAATAAACCAAATTGCCATTGGACTTTATCAGAAGAACTTCACCATTGCTCATGAGCCCAAAGGAAAATTCAATTGTGTCTCTTAAGGTATATTGTTTAGTCCAAGAATCTACAACACCATAATCTGTCATAACCCATATGTCCGAGCACGTAAAAAAGGCAAGTGAGTCCCGGAAGGCCAAGATGGACGCTGCTCCAAAATTAATGGCAACAGGCAAACTTATTTCTTGAAATATCTCGTCCATCATATGGAATGACATGATGAACCATTGTTGTCTATCACTACTTTCACTACCCCTGCCCCAGTTGTATGCTTTCCAATGGACAGCCCCATTAACTAAGGGACTGGAGGAGGGATGGACTACCCTACAGTCCTTGAAATTGGTAGTCATCTTCCTCCAAGAATCTGTACTCAAACTGTAAACCTCAACCTCAGGTTGAATAGATTCTAATCCGTATACAAGTCGCACCACCTTGTAATCATTAATGAGGAACAAAGCCAAATCCGAGAGCCTTATCAATAGGACAACTTTCGATCTGGGATGTTGGGAGCATCTTGAATTTACCAATTGAAGGGTTCCATAGAACTACATCACAGAATTTATCCGGAAGGACTATGTTCAAATCCAAGAGGCACAATAACCCATTAGAAGAACCCACAAGCCTGAAACGACTGAAATACTTCCCGTATTTGGTCAAGTCTGGAAATTGATATCTCTTGGTCTTGGCCAATGTTTCCAAGCAGCATAGGCTATAGTAGAAAAAACTCCTAGACTTTCGATGTCCACATTGGAGGATTACATGGCTGCTGCTGCTATTATCTCTGTCACTGATTGAACGATGAAGAAGATGCTTGTTGATGAAGAAAGGTTCGGCAACTAAAGAGTGCCATGACTTGCAAACACACCTGCAACACCCGAGTGTTTGGACAGGTAGTCTTGCAAAGATCTCCATCATGATTTCCATGGGCAAACTCATAGAGGCTGACATCAATCCCAGCTTGAAATATTTCTGCATGCCTTATAAGAAGAGAGAAAACATAGCATGATAAGATTCTGCTTTTTCCGTGTGATACATGACATTATAGTACTATATTTTTCTTATCTAAATCTATTATCTATCTATCTATTTATATTTATATCCATACCTTAAAACTGAATTACTTGAATTTCTAATTTCTAACAATAAATAAATACAACACAATTTATATATATATATCACAAAGCTACATTCGTTATCTCGAACTTTATGTACCAAGCATACATTATCTCTAAAGTTCCACAAATGGTATTGAGAAGTCTACAAAATTTGCACATAAATTGAATACTTTGAGTCAATATTACTGAGGCAAAGGATTAGGTTTTCCAGTTTAACCTGATTGCTCTGGCCAATTATATTCTTTTAGTAGCAAAATTATTCTATTGTAATCAAAGTTTTTATTTACTTTTTATAGGCATAAAAGTATTTTTTGTAGTGAAATACTAAATATAGGAATGAAGCAGAAATAAAAATAATGTACCTTCCACTGAATTTAAATTTAAATAATGTACAAGAAATATTAGAGCATCTCCATCAAATTAGCTATTTTTATTTTTTAGCTAAAATAGTGAATAAATTACCAACTTTTAACTCCATCAAACTAATTACCTAATTAGCTATTTTAGTTTTTGTGATTTTGACTCAACAAATGTAGCTAGTAATTTTGACTAGTCAAACATTAAAAAATTAATATTTTTATTATTTTAGAGTTACTTGTGTTGAGTTTATAAAAGATAATTTAAAATAAAAACAATATTTGAATAGCATAGGCAAAGAATAGAGAGTTTGTTGGAAAGTGTATTGAAAAAGTGCATAGCCAAAATAAAAAAAAAAATAACTTTTGAGTTAAAATATAACAAAATTTTATATAGTTTGATGGGGATGCTCTTATAGGTAGAAAATACAATTAATAAATGTCTTCCAGAACATAAATAATGTAGTAATATTATTTCTTCCTTTTACAAATACGTTCATGACAAAAACTACATAATCAAAAGCTTTCACAAACAACTATAAAATTTAGCTTAGTTGTGGGGATATATTTTCTGAGTACCAACACGTGGCAAGGTGACGCCGACGTGTCAGCCGAGGTGCCACGTGTCTTGGTCGTTGTGCCGAGGTCATCTCGGCTAGGCCGAGGTTTCCTCCGAAGATATCGGAATCCGAGATAAGCGAATAAGGGGCAAGAGTCCTAGAATGAAGAGGGAACTCAACTTGGATAAGGACAAGAGTCCTAGATTGGGAGAAGACTTCAGTTTGGGTAAAGATAAGACTCTTAGAGAGTTTATCCTAAATCCACTGGGAGTTCCAGATTAGCAGTAATCCTAAGTCCATTAGGGTCAGGCTCCTATTGGGACTAGGATTGGATTGGCTATAAAAGAGAGGCACCCCCATGGGTCTAAGGTATGCTTTTGATACTCAAGCTTGTGAGTTTAGTACTTGATTTATCTTTAAGAGATATACTGACTTGATCGTCGGAGTGCCCCCGGGTGGTCGAAACCACCGCGGGATTCTTATATTTCTGTTGCAGGTCCGTCAGGTGCCATCTATTCTGCCAGTGCTCTCCAGCTGGTTACTAAGCGGGCAGTGTGGTCGGAAAATCACCCACACATTAGTGTTTATAATATCTAGAACCAAAAATGCCATGATAGCATCTGCAACGATGCTCCCAATTTGTTCCCTAAATTTCAACTAAAACGTGGATTCTTTTTGTTTTAGGGAGTCACTTTTTCCCTAAATTTCACTTTTTCAACCACATTGTCCAACAATACTCTCTATTCTATTTAAATAATTTTTTTTATTGTTTTTTAACCCAAATTGTGAAATCTTTTATTGTTTTTCGCGCAAAAAAGCGCAGTTGACACCACCAAAAAAAAAAAAAAAAAAAAAGAAAGTCCTCTGCCATCCCCACACCTTTACTATTACCAAACCTCCACACCAATCTATTATCCATTTCAGATACCAATCAGTAAATTCATCAATATGTCAATAAAAATAGTTAATATAATAGTAGATCAACAGTCAGAAACAAAGATTTGAGAGATTTGGAAAAAGATTTGAAAAACGGAATGAAAAAAGAAGGTGAAAAACATTTCACCTACTTTCACACCATTTTTTTTTTCCTTTTCTTTTTCCAAATCCCTTTCTAAATCCCTCAACCAAACACACCAAACACAGTATAAAAGAAGAAAAAAAGATATACAATCTTTTGAACTCCACAAACAATGTTCATAACCATTCTCAATCTCCATAACCAAACTCTTTTCTTTTTTTCTTTTTTTATAAAAAAAATAAACTTAAGTATTCAATTCAAAACCACTAATTGAGTAAAAATTTAAAACCCTAATCTAAATCTAAGAGTACATTCCAGAAATTACAACACTAAAAGCATACATATATACCAGACATGGCTGTTGGTGATGACAATGGTGACGAAGAACGAGTCTGCTCCGATTCCAGAGAGAGTCTGCTCCGATTTTAAAGAATAAAACTTGAGACCCCCACCCACAGTGACCCCCCCAGTGCCACGTGGCACCGCGTGATTGGAAGGAAAGGAAAAAAAAATTGTTTTTGGGCTACTGGGGGTGCTGGGGGTGCCCCCACTGGGGGTCCCTAGCACCACTGGATTTTAAAACCCTAGTTCTTGCTGAAAGAGGCTTCTTCTCAACAAGTAAGAGGAATATGACTTTAAAATTACGTACTTTTTTATGTTGTGATAATGACTAAGGGTAGTTTGGTAATGGACTAATTTAGGTATTGTTTGGAATTAAATAATTAAATATTTTAGTTAAAAAAATCACTATAAATTATCGGAAAAATTGGCCTAAGGTCCCTCCTCTACTTTTGATATGAGGAGAGGTCCTTTATAATATGTTTTGATGGCTAAGGTCCCTCAAATTTATTTTAGGTTATAAAGTACCTAAATTACCCTTCCTTTATAACATAAATTTGTTTGAATATTATATGGTTGAGTTAACTGATACATTTTGGAAACCGAATTTGAAGGGGAGATTTTGTCGGAGTTTTCGTCGGAGATTTCAGTGGAGATTTTACTATGTCTTTCTTCATTCCAGTCCACCAGAAGTATTCCTTCAGATCGTGATACATCTTTGTATTGGCAGGATGGATTGCAAACCTCGAGTTATGGGCTTCTACTAATATCCTTTTCTTGAGTTCTGGAAGGTCGGGTACGCAAATTCGATTTCGAAATTTTAGTATCCCATTGCTAATTTTAAAGTCAGGATCAGGCGTATTTCCTTGTTCTTCGTATTTTTCCTTCAAAAGTTTGTCTTCACATTGGCGGGCTCTAATTTCTTCCATCAAAAAAACTTTATAAATACTAGTGATTGGCCGACACGTGGCCGATTCGAATCGCTCCCCAGATTATTTCTGATTCACCCGAGATTCATTCCTATCTTAAGAATTAATTAGGATAACAATTAAGATAATTACATTTGACCCAACAATTAAGATAATTACATTTGACCCAATATTTTAATATAATTATATAAGTAAATTAATTTTTTTAATTAAATTACACATTAACACATACCAACAGAAAATTAATTATTTATTTTATTACCATACCCATTATTATTATTATTTATATTATTATTTATTCCCTCTTTTTTTTTCTCTTTTATTTTATTTTATTTTATTTTATTTGTACTATAAATTTTATAGTTAGCCTCAAATAATAATCCCTAATTAATAACCCAACGCCATTCTAGATTTATACATTTATTCATGTAATAATCTATTATCACGTGCAACCATAATTATATATAAATATAAATATTTATATGGACTTGACTAAACGTTCGAGGTGTCACAATTTCAAAACACACAAACTCAAAATACAACTCATATTCTCAAATCATAATTAAAAAATCTTACCAAATTGAGCCTTAAAGATTCCCCCTCATTCTTTTTTATTTTTTGCATTTTTTTTTTTAAAATTAAAAAAATCATTCTCAAATATTTTAATATTTTAATCTCAAATTTTAGGTTGTGTTTGAAAAAAAATCATGAATCATACATTTACATAAGAATTAGTACGAGTTTTTTAAGATGGTAGCGAGAGTTAAGAATAGGTCTATTTTGGTAATTAAAAAAAATATAATTTAATAACTTATTTAGGTCACATTATTTTTTTATTTTTTTCATGTCTTCTTTTAAAAAAAAAAAGATTAAAAAAAGCTAAAAAGGTTTTTTTTTTCCCTTTTTTTTTAGGTCTTCCCTACATCCCAAAATATTAAATGTATGTTAAAATTAAGAAAAAATTATGAGAAAATCCTATACAGGAATCAGTTATTCCAATCAGTCCTATTGATTTTGTAATACATCGATAGGTCTTGCTTGTTTTGACAAGCTTACCATGAGATTTTATTTTGAATTTTGGTATGATTTGGTTGACATTTTTACCCTTTTTAGAAAAGTTAGATTCAATTTTTAGGTCATGTTTTGTCATTCCAATGTAACATTCAAATGTCACAGTTAAATGGAATACTTTAATGGGATAAATTACAAATACACTTTTTGAGATTTGCTTAAAATACAAATTATTCGTTGTAGTTTGAAAAATTACAAATATTTCTTTGTTAAAATTTTTATTTAACAGAATTAACTAAAAAAAAAGAAATTCATAATTGCTCTCCTATACAATAATAAAATTACCTAAATTACTAATTGAAACATACTTATAATATTATTAAAAACTGTTAATTGATTTGATGATTTATTAATAAAATGAGCGATTTGTTCTAAAATTAGAAATCTTAGGAAGTAGAATGTAATTTCTAAAACCACATGTGGCGATTTGTATTTTAATTAAACCTCAGGAGGTGTATCTGTAATTTACCACACTTTAATGTAATACACAAAAAACTCTTTAGTATAATTTTTTTAAATATAACTCTCAAAGAACGTAATATTCCAATATAACATATTAAAAAACTCTACTTTTTCCAAAGGTAATAACACAATATTCACAAAAAATTCTTAATGTACATTTTACAAACATAACACAACACTTTGTAATGGGATGTCACATAACACTACTTTATAGCTTCTATAACACTTTATCTCTCTATTTTTTTCATGTCTTTTTTAAAAAAAAAATTTAAAAAAAGTTAAAAAGTTGTCTTTTTTTCCTACGTCCCAAAATATTATAATTTGAATGTCAAAATTAAGAAAAAATTATGAGAAAATTCTATATAGGAATCAGTTACTCCAATTAGTCGCATCGATTTTCTAATACACTGATAGGTCTTGTTTGTTTTGACAAGTTTACCATGAGATCCTATTTTGAATTTTGGTATGATTTGGTAGACGTTTCTACCCTTCTTAGAAAAGTTGGATCCAATTTTTAGATCACGTTTCTGTCACTCCAATGTAGCATTCAAACGTAACATTTTAATGTAATATTTTAATGTAAAACGCAAAAAACTCCTTAGTATAATGTTTTCAAACGTTACACTCAAAGAACGTAATACTATAATATAACATACTAAAAAACTCTTTTTTTTCCAAACGTAATATTTAAAAAAAAATATTCTTAATATACTTTTTACAAACATAACACTTTGTAATGGGATAAGCTCCCCTTCATACTTATATCTTTCCATACTCATCCATACTCTTGTGAGCCCAAATTCGGACTCACATAGATGATCCAAACCATCTACTTTGTAGGTTCTATAATAAAAATCATCCATACAAAAAATTAATTTCATCGAACATCTATAAATATAAGAATAAATCACTTTTTATTTTACAAAATGAATAGTAAATAAGATTGTAAACTTAAACTATTTATTTTATAAAAAAAAATGCGATCTGTTTCTATATTTACAGTTATTTTATAAATCTAATATTTTATATGAATAATTTTTATTGTAAACCTTATGAAATAGACGGTTTGAATTATTAAAATAAGTCTAAATTAAAATTCACAAGAAGAATATAAATAAATATGAAGAGATGAAATGTAAAGCAAAATTTATAGTCTTTGTAACACACTATGGTGTATTTTTTCAAAGCAATAAAGCCTATGATGTGTGTTTTCAAAACATAACGGATCGGATCCGAACGTGGTTTGCCCAATGGTGTATTAAACCATAAAAGCCTATGGTACAGTTTTTATCATAGACGGTCAACACGGAGAAATTGACTAACATATAACAATAGCATCCACAACGGGTATAACCGTGAATAGTTACAAAATAGGACTTACCTGAGTATTAAAAATAAAATGGGACTAACACCATATGATTTTGTTTATTACAATTTATAATAAAAATGACATTTTGTGATAAGAAATATTATAGGTTTTATTTGTTTTGATTTTTAAAATCTGTTTTTTAAAAAAATTAAAAATTAATTTAGTGAAAGAAATAGTTTTATCTTTTGAGAGAACATAAATAATTATTAAAAAATTAAAAAAAATATTTTTGATATTTATTTTTGTCAAACTAATTTTATTTTTTCAAAAAAAAATTCTGAAAATTATTTCAAAAAAAAAACCAAATATGCCCATAATATTTTATAATTTATGTTATGAAATTTTGTATTAAAAAAAGTTATGAAAGCATATCATAAAATGTTCCAACATATACCCAAAAATAGAAAAGAAAAGAAGAAGCTCTCCTAATTCACCCTCAAGATTGTACTTAAACCACTTGTTAACTGTGGACTAATCTTCTACAGGGAGAGAACTTAATCACAAACCAATATGTATTAATAGTGTTTAAAGTAAAGCTAATCTTAAACAAAGCAAAGAAACAAGCAAAACAATCTCATTACCAGTGCTACCTGTTTCATTGTGTTTTCATTTTCTGTTTTTGTGTTTTCAGATTCAAAACAATGAAAATTTTGAAAACAATCATCCTTTTATTATCATTTTCATTTTTGTGCTAAAACAGTTTCAAAAATTTGACAATAACTTTTTACTATTCTCAAAAAATAATCAGAAAACAAAAACTACACATTTAAGCTTATAATCTCCAGATGGCCGACAATGTCGATGATATTACCCTTTTTTTTTGGATCGAGATGATATTACCTCATACCTTACATTAACCAAGGAAATTCAGAGATCAACCACTTATTGGAAAACACAACACCCATACTATGGAATACCCAATAGTAACATAAATCGAAGGCCATGTTGAACAGACTCAACCAAATAAAAAAATTCTAAGATCAATACAATCCCCACAAAATTAGCATAATGATAGATTTACGAGGATACTTTTCACTCATTTAAAAATTGCTCAGTACCATTGAATAAACAATCTCAGATAAGAACTAAACAACCTTCAACAATTAAAGAAACATAATGGTGACAAGTAAATGGTGTGATTTGCACAATGACAAGTCACCACAAAGTAAATTCATTCACAACAGTATGAGAAAGCAATTAGAGATTTTTTTTGGGTGAATGAAAGCTATTGGAGATAAACAATTCAAGGAAAGCTATTTCACAGGCTGACTTGCTTCAAATACATAAATAAATTATGGGCAAGTATATAATACCACATATGGAGTGCCAAGAATACAGTAGTGAAGGCAAGCTAATGAGTAATGAATGGCACTTGTATTCCAAAATATTGGATTATGATTTAGAAAGCAAAATAAAAAGAAGAGAAAAAATCATGATAATAATATCACTTCTTGTCATTCCACTTATACTTTCTAGCTGATTGTTGACCCCTCCTTTTAATCATCACCTTGACACACAACATTTTTCTTACATGAAATGGTGGACAATTTCATAATTAACACCACGGCTATCATGTAGCTTACAAGGACATATATTGGCAACTAAAAATGTAAAACAATGGCAATACAAGTTTTCAATCCTCAACCCCATCGCCATTTATGTGTTGATACAGCAGTGCATCTATATAACACATATCCACTTTCTTTTTTTTTGATCGGCAAAGAAAACTTTATTGATAAAAAACAACCGAATTAAATCAATAAAGAGGAGCTTGGAGCTAAAATAAGCTCCAACCTCCTAGTTGGTGAGAAACCAACAAACAAGGCAAAACAAAGACAAGAAACGAAGGAAAAAACAAAAGAACAACTGAGCAAATGAGCACCAAAATCTGAGCATCAAAACAGCAACAAAATCTGAGCAAGCTCACTCCTAAATCTGAGCAGAACAGCATAACAACTGAGTGGCAAAATCTTACAGCAACAGGCCAGTAGCAGACTTGCATACTGGAGCCTTGTATGAGCAACATACCACCAGAAGCAGACTTGCTTCCTACAGCAGCATTAGAGCATTATCATTACAGCAGCATTACAGAATCCAGCTGCACAGAGCAGGCCATCTTCCAGCAGCATTAGCATTACCACTCCCCTCCTAAAATCAACAGACTAGCATTATCAGGCCAAACCACCAGCCTCATACAGCAAAACAGAGCACCAGACTAGCAGCATCAGCCCAAACCAGCATACAGCAAACCAGAAGCATACATAACCAGACCAGCCTCAAACAGACATACAGAAGGCCAAACAGCAGCATACAACAAAATACAGAGGGCCAAAACCAGACCAACTTAGCTCTGCACACTCCAGATATAAACCAGAATCACACAACTCTCAATTAGGAGACAGCAAAAAAACTGAGCATAGCAAGCTCAGAACCACACTGAAGCACAAACTCAGAACCACACTGAACACAAATACCTGCAATGACATACCAGATGAACTACCAACAACACAAGTCCATCTAACACATGTCCATTTTGAATGTATGACTAGAAGTGTTTCATACTTGTAAGACTTCCCAGTTCCCACACCCCTCAATCGGTTCTAGGTTTAAGTTCAAAACAAAACAATACTCAGAAGAAACATAGTAGTAGGCCCTCGTTTTTTTGATAAGCAGAAACATGATAGGCATATATGAGACTAGCCTTGATGTCCATTTGGAGACGGATTATGTATTACCAAAACTCTTATTGATCCCTCTCTCCCTATGAAGCACGGGTACGGGTACTAGTACTAGTATTGGTACTGGTATGATACGGGTAGGTTGATACAGTACAATTCAAAAAAAAGTAGGGTACGGGTACGGGTACAGGTACGGCTTGGTACGCTTGTAAAAAATATTTATTTTTAATTTAGAATAATGTAAAAATTAATTAAATGGTTAAAAATGTTAAGATTCAACCTACAATTAACATTTAATGCCAAAAGTAAATGTATAATTTAAAATTAAATGTCAATATATTTTACAAACCATAGTTTAATTTTAAAAACACACTAAGTAAAAAACAACGCCCAATTAGTACACATTAATGTGTGTTTGGGAGGGAAAAGATTGAGTACACACCTAACCTTTAGCATAATGCACAAAGTGGTGGCCCCAAGACTTGAAACCATAACCTTAAGGTTATTAGGCCAAGTCTTAACCATTGAACCAATGGTCACCCCTTTAAAAACACACTAAGTATAAAACTAAAAATAAAAAAGAAGTCTAGTGAAAGTAGTTTTATCTCTGCAGTAGAAGAAAATATTATTTCGTTTGAGGTACGATACAGACTTAAGAATATAGTAGGCACGTTTGGATACGCCAAAAATTAAGAAGAAAAAATTTGGGTAAGTGTTTCGTGTAACAAGTACGTATGCAGAAGTATTGTACGAGATACTATACGTTGATAAGTACCTGGTACAGGTACGACATGTTTTTCGAAGTATCCATACTTCATAGCTCCCTCCCAACATTACCCAATCAATAAAGTGACTATAACAGTATTAATTTTAAGAATAAACTGTAAAAACGTAATACCATTTATATAAAATTGAAAAATGCTGGCATAAAAAAAATACAAAAAAAAAAAAACCGAGTGACTACACACACAAAGTCCATTATCATCAACAACATCAAACTCTATAGGTTGATAGAACAGTTGCATCCACATATACAAAGCCAATTAGAATTGTGACGTAAATTTGTTGAATCATCCTAGACTTCCCCCATTCCCTAATGGAGTAGTTCTAGGTCCCCTTAACGCATTCCAGCATCAGGGAAACAGAGCAGATCTTCTTGACACTAGCCATGATTTCCATTTGGATATCATAATTATGTGGATCTGAATATTAGCTTGAACCCACTCCACATGACCCAACCTAGAAAATGACTACATTCAAGATAGAACTATTTCTTAGTAAGTATATATCAAATGCAAACAGGAAATATAATCTAAACATAACCATATTGCATAACATTCCACCCATAAGCATTAGTTCAACAAAGGAAATGAAACTGTCAAAAAATTTCAACCAGATTCATGGGCATAATCTAATCATAACCATATTGCATACCATTCCACCAATATACTAAGCATTAGGTACCATGATTCAACCTAGAGCTAAGATGTTCATACTTCATAGGCTAGAGAGTTAATACTAGATAAAAAAACAACTCAGATTAACATTTGAGAAAACAGTGAGCGGAAATGTAGTGCATCACCAAAAAATGCTCCAGTTCAGCCTCTATGGCTGCCTTCTCCTCCTTGGATGGAGCACGACCATCCTCAGAATCAACTCCATCACTAGCACTCAGTTGCTTCTTCAGGACACCATTTGCTGCATCAAGCAGAACCAAGCTCTCAGTGTAAGTATCCAAATGAAACGAGTCTGTGCCACCGCAAATTTCAAGAGTCTTAATCCTTTTGTTTGCAGGCTTATAGGATACAACCTTCTGGTTCCACATTTCCACGAGTAATTCACCATTGTTCCTAAACCCGAGCACATTCGACATACCTTCAACCAAACAAACAGAAAATTGCTTAACCCAACTCTCAACAACACCATATTCCTTCATAATCCAGACCTCACAATCCCTACTGGTACAAGGACCACTATTGTAATAGTGAAACACCAAAATTGAATCGGCACACACCGCAAAAAACCAACTTCTTGGGTAACCGCATCTCGCAAAAAACCTCACTACCCATATCAAACAACAGCACCACATTGCAGAATACACTCATTTGCTTGCCTTCAATACTGTATTCTTGGCACTCCATATGTGGTATTGTATACTTGCCCATAATTTATTTATGTATTTGAAGCAAGTCAGCCTGTGAAATAGCTTTCCTTGAGTTGTTTATCTCTTATTACTTTCTCATAGTTCATATGCTATACCGTTGTGAATGAATTTACGTTGTGGTGACTTGTCACTGTGCAAAGCACACCATTTACTTGTCACCTAAATCTCTCTCTCTCTGAACCTCCTCTCCAGACTCCCCGTCAAAACCCTCCTCCAATTCAGGTGCGTATGCAAATCATGGTGCTCTCTCATCTCCACCCCTGATTTTCATCACAACCCACCTCAAATTCAACCTCAATCCCACTTCTCCTTCCCAAACCCACCACAGCCACGAACTCTTCCGCTACTTCTCTCTTAACCCACGAAGAGAACACTACTCCCTCCGTCTCGACGACGAACCATTCACCGAGCTCATCGACCTCCATTGCCCTTTCAAGCCTTGCTCCAACAACCACTTCAAACTCGTCGGTAGCTTTCACGGCTTGATTTGTCTCTCCGACGATTGCTTTGGCTACACCTACACTATCATCAGACTCGTTGGTGCTGTTGTTTGATATGGGTAGTGAGGTTTTTTGCGAGATGAGGTTACCCAAGAAGTTAGTTTCTGAATTTCCGCTCGACTTGTCTGTTGCGGTGTATGGCAATTCAATTTCGGTGTTTCACTATGACAATCGTGATCCTTGTACCAGTAGGGATTGTGAGGTCCGAATTATGAAGGAATATGGCGTTGTTGAGAGTTGGGTTAAGCAATTTGTTTGGTTGAAGGCATATCGAATTTGCTCGGGTTTACGAACAAAGGTGAATTACGGGTGGAAATGCGGAACAAGAAGGTTGTATCCTATCAACCTGCGAACAAAAGGATTAAAACTCATGAAATTTAGGGTAGAGAATGAAACCCTCGCTAGTGAGCTGATCAGTAGAGAAAGAGTGAGAGTGAGAGTGAGACCGAGACCGAGACCGAGAGCATCTCCAACCCACTAGGCATATGATGTTTGTTAGTCAAAATGCTTAATGTGATTCACTTTTTTCAACTTCAATACACTAGGCATATGCTTAGGCATTTTGGCTCAGCTCACATTCACTAGCTACATGTAGCTAGCCTTCAAGGCTAGGCAAAATGTATTTAATCATTAAGATTATTTCCCTCCATCTTTGTTGCTGACGTGGCATTCTATAAAGTTAATAATATTTGGATGAATAGCTAAAATAAAGAGCATGGTTGGGGTAGAAACATGAAATCGTTGATAGGCAAAATAAAATGTATACTTTATAGTAATATTTAAATAGGTAAAATGCCTACTACCATTGGAGATGCTCTGAGACTGTAAGAGCATCTCTAACGATAGTAGGCATTTTACCTATCTAAATATTTTTATAAAGTGTATGTTTTATTTTGTCTATCAACTGTTTTATGTTTTTACTCCAATCATGCTCTTTATTTTAGTTATTTATCCAAATACTATTAATTTTATAGAATGACACGTCAACAACAAAGATAGAGGGAAATGATCCTAGTGATTGAATACATTTTGCCTAGCGTTGAAGGCTTGGTAGCTAGTGAATATGAATTGAGCCAAAATGCCTAATCATATGCCTAGTGCATTGGAATTGAAAAAAATGAATCACACTAGGCATTTTAACTAACAAGTATTATATGCCGAGTGCATTGGAGATGCTCTAAGTGCAGTGAGGAGAGAGAGAGAGGCGTGGAGGTGGAGACCGATTCAATTTGAACACGAATTGTGTTGGATCCGGACCCATCCCATTTACAAACCCAAACACCTTACTTGTTTCCGCTTTTTAAAAAATGCTTTTTAAAAAATTTTATTTTCTTATTTTTCGTATTTTTTTTATTTTTATTAAATTTTTTTAATATTTTAAACAATTTTTTTACTTTTTAGACACATTTAACATAAATACACTTAAAAAATAAAAAAATTATAAAAAAAATCTTTTAAAAATTCACTAAATACCAAAAATACAAGAATTCAATACATTTTTTATATTTTTATGTATTTATTAATTTTTTAAAATATTTTTTCACAATTTTTTTACTTTTTAAATACATCTAAGTAAGATACATCTAAAAAAGTAAAAAAAATATTTAAAATTTAAAAAATATTCACTAAAAACAAAAAATACGAAAATCAAAAAAGTCAATCTTCAAAGAATTTAGGGCTTGTTTGGTTTGTTTTTGAGAAACATGTTTTGAGATAAAAAGTACGAAAATTTATTTGGTTTGGTTTTTTTTCAAAAGATGTTTTGAAAAATTATTTTGAGAGAGAGTTTTGGAAAAAGTGATTGATTTGATGTGTATGAGAGAGAGATTTGTTTGGAAAAATTGTAAACCAAACAAGTTTTGAAAAAAAATTTTAGAAAAATTTGTTTGGTTTGATTACTTTTGAAAACTTATTTGTAGAGAATTTTTCTCAAAATTTTTTCCAAAACACAAACCAAACAAGGCCTTAATCTAAAAAACTCAAACCAAACACACTGAATTCTTTTTTATTTATTTGGAAGACTTAGAGCAGTTACATTAGCTTTATCAAGTGTAGTTTTTGATTAATTATAATTAATAAATCATAAAATTTTTATTCCATTAACCTTAATAAATTATTTTAAACTATTTTTAGTTAACTTTGCCACAATTTGTTAAGGTTCTACTCATTAGTTATTCAATAATTTATCCTTTTTTGGGGATAGATTTGAACTTTTTTTTCTTAATTTCTTAAATACTATTTATTGAAAAGATATTTAAAAATTATTTAAATATAAAAAATGAATAAAAATAAATACTTTAATGAAATAGAATTTTAAAATAAAAAAATTGATGGAGTGTATATATAAAAAACAACTAATACTAATATGAAAGTACTTTTTGAGTAATAATTTGATTCAAAATTTATTGAGACTAATGTAAATACTCTTATTAGCCAATTCTATTGAGGAGTCTTATTACTTCTAACAACAATGATTCATCCCACTAAAAATATCACCACTAATAGCACTAATGCATTAAAAAAGTAAAAAAAAAAAAAAAAATACAACTCCAAGACCAAAACATCACATCATTAATGGCGGGATCCACTGTCACCTAATTAGTGGGAGCACTAATTAGTGCTCCCAAGCATTTTTCTTACTCATAATTCTGTTGCTTTTTTTACCTATCAATATTCTTAAAATACCCTTCATTCCCCTTATGCATCCCTATTATCAACACTATTTATGACTTTCTCCTCCTTCGCCAGCAACCACATCTTGGTAATAATTTTCAGCGATATTTTTTTGAATTGTTTCAACAAAAATAACATCTATCACTACTACATCACTACTGTTACCAACTCCACCACTTAATCACTCATTCATATTTATACACACTCATTGTCATTTATTTATATACTTATTTACTCACAAAAATACAACCTCATAGACATATATAAGACATCTGATAAATTTATTAGAAACACATTCAGTGGTAAATTATTACTGGAGGTGGTCGCAATGGATAGAATCACAATCGCCTTTCTGTGTTTGGGTTTGACTCTTCTTATGATAGAGATTTAACATGGGAGAGCATTTGAGCTTAATGGGCCTATTGTAAACCTAATCTTGGTGATCCAAACCATTCACTTTTTAGCAATTATTGAGAAAAATATTAATGTAAAAAATCACGATAATTAGATTTTGGTAGTTTTATGTTTGAATCACATTTGTTTTTAAAAAATAGACGGTTATTCTTCAAATTATATTTGCCATTAAGATAAATGTGATTCAAACATATAACTACCGAAATCCAATTAACTTGATTTTTTACATGAATATTCTTCTCAACGAGTACTAAAAAGTGAACAGTTTTGATTATCAAGATTGGGCTCACAATGGGCCCACTAAACTTAAACGCTCTCTCAAGTTGGATCCTTAGCATGAAAAAAGCCAAACCCTTTGCGTTTAGGGATGAAAAAAGGATGTAAGAAATGAGATTATGCATAGCATTGTTCTAAAAGGAAAATACTATATATAATCTTATTTGTTACCCCATTTCTCACTCCAAAACACAAGTGAATGGGTCCCATATGCATTTATGAATGTGGATTCCATTACCTTGTGTCTAAGAAGTGAAAAAATAGAGTAAAAAATAGAATTATATATAAAGTTTAATGCTACATAAATGGGATTATATGTAGCATTTAATGCTATTTCCTTATAGGTAGCATTTCATGCTATATATAACCTTATTTCTTACGCCCTTTCCTCACTACAAGTTACAAGTGAATGGGTCCCATATACATTTATAAATGTGAGCCTCATTGTTTTGTTTTTAAGGGTGAGAAAAAAAATATAAGAAATAGGATTATATATAGCATTGTTCTAAAAAGAAAGTGCTATATATAATCTTATTCCTTACCCCTTTTCCTTACTCTAAGACACAAGTGAGTGGGTCTCACATTCGTTTATGAATATGGGTCTCATTTCTTTATGTATGGAGTGAGATAAGAAGTAAGACATGAGATTATGTATAACATTGCTTTAAAAGAAAAATACTACATATAATCATATTTCTTACGCATTTTCTCATTTCAAGATGCAAGTGAGTAGGTCCCATGTGCATTTATGAATGTGGGTTCTATTGTTTTGTGTCTAGGGGTGAGAAAAGGACATAAGAAATAGGATTATGTATAACATTACTCAAAATA